ACATCCTTTCTGGTCCTGGAAAGAGGCTGTGGGGCCTCTTATCCATCCTCACACTGTACACAAGTGCTCCATCTTCGGGACCTCAGCTCTGTGGATGGAAACCTGCATGTCATGGGACTCTCGGGTGGTTTCCTGGAAGCTCAAGTATTCAGTCTGTAATCAGCACTGTGGTTGTGCTTTATCTTTAACTTAACACTTACGATAGCCCTACAGCACAGTTTTCATCGTTTTAGTTTTACTGTTGATGAAACTAGTGCTGAGAAAATTCAAGTTCATTGCCCACATTTAGGCAAACACATGTCTGCCTCACATCAACATTATTTGTATTTAATTCTGATTCCTCCATTTCCCCTATGCAATACTAGTGATTGAATCCAGGGCTTTCACACTGAACTGCATCCACAGCCTCATTCATTCATTCATGTATTCGCTCAGAGAGTGTCATGAAGTGCTGTCCTCTGGGATAGCGAAGGCCTGCACCACCATGCCTGGCCAAATGTATGTTTAGTTTTAATTATCGCAGATAATACGTCTCACAAAGAGATTTTTTTTTACTTTGCTGCTTGTGGAATGTAACAGGATTTACAGGTTTACTTTATAGGAGTGTAAATTTGTAGTTTAATTTGCCATGAGTGTTCGTTCAAGTGAGACTATATCAAAATTGAGAAATTGTTTTTGTTGTTATTGCTGTTGTCTTTGTAATAGTAGAGATTGAGGCTGGGAAGATAGCTTCGCGGCTTAAGCACCTGCCTGGCAAGCGCAAGGTCCTGAGTTCAATCCCTGTACCTAAATAAATAAGTAAATGGAATACTGGGAATTGAACCCAAGCGCTTTGCACTAAGCTATGTCCCAGCCCTTTTTATCTTTTGTCTTGAGATGGAATCTCACAGAAACCAAAAATGTAAGTAAGGACCAAAATGTGTAGTAGATATTGTAAAACAGGAAGAACATTTTCAAATGGGGAGAGGAACATGAGAGATGGGAGGGGAAAAGGAAAAGAAAAAGAAAAATATGAGAAGAGAAGGAAAGCCTGCACACAAAGCTTTTGTAAGTGGGGATAAGGGGAGGGGTAGTTGAAGAGTACATAGGAGAATGGCAAAAAAAAAAAAAGTTATGCCATGTACAGGTACAAATTCTCTAGATGAATGTAATTACTATGTGTATGTAACATGCCAATAAAATCTGCTTTTAAAAAAGAGAGAGGGTCTCACTGACTTACCCAGGCTGGTCTAGGTCCCCCTACCACAGCCTTTTAGAGTGCTGGGATTATAAATCTGTACCACCATGCCCAGCAGGAGTTGTTTTAAGTTCAACTTTTGCAGAACTACCCTGTAAATTATAATACACAATATGTTTGGTAATCTGCATTATTTCTTTTTTAAAAACTAAACTAGTGGGGCTAGGTGGTGTGCATTTGTAATCCAAGCACCATTGAAAGTGGAAGCAGGAGGACCTAGGTTAGAGCCCAGCCTGTGTGACTGAGTGAGACTCTGTTTCAAAAATTTTTAAAAATAAAAGAAGAGTTGGGAATGTAGCCCAGAGTAAAGGCTCTGGATTCAATCCTTGGTACACCAAAACTTAAAAAAAAAACCCAATACTGAGTTCATTGGTCACTGCCTGGAATACAAAGATACATCAGGTAAAAATACCTTTGTTATCAGTTATTGTTTGGTTTAAGGCTTTGGCAAACAATTTTAGAAATTTGGATTAAAAAGCTTTCTAATGGGCTTGTTACAAGGAAGAGTTACTTGTTTTCAAATTTTGTATTTGTTTCATGGATTTTTATTTTTGACATAAGTAATGTTTATTTCTTTTCTTTTCTGACATGAACTTTGTGCAAGATTTGTGTGAAGACCTTTATGAACTTTTTAAGACTGACAAAAGCTTTGATAAAGCTACTTTTGAAAGTCAGATGTCTGTCATGAGGGGCCAGGTAGGTCACTTTTAATGACTAAGTGAAACACTTTGCTGAGACAGTATACACATTCTGCTGAGCCAAAATCACTCAGTGGATTAGAAATGAAGTCAATTTAAATCATGTTTTTCCTTTGTTATGTTATGAATTGCTTGATGTCAGGGATCAGCCAGGGACTTGGTCATGCTAGGCAAGTAGTGCACCAAGCTGTGCCCAACCCCGCAGTAGGTCTCTTTGATCTTGTGTGTCACTGATGATGTGTTGTCCACCCCACCATACGCTCTGTGGCCCCATTTTGGTACCTGTATCCTGAATGTTACTGCCTTTCACTTCTCAGATCTACTTGCTGTGACAGTTCAGAACCAGGCTCTGATGCCAGTAGCTTATTCTTTTTGCAGGACGTGTTTGTCTTCGCTAGAGCAGTCCATAAATAACTGTGTCACCAGGACCAAACTCTAATTGGGCATGAGGGAACTCTAATTTTACCTTAGTCCTCTGGCCCTCCCCTCCTCGCCTCTCATGAGAGGCACAGGGTGTTCATCTGTTGTCATGGACGTGAAGTTGAGCTGGCTCACAGGCGACCTGTGTATCTTCTACTGCATTCCAAAAGCAAGACTTGAAAGGAAAATAAATTATACTGCTTAATACTGGCTTTTCCTGACTTCCCAATTAGCATTCTCTTCCTAAAACATGCATTTCACTTAAGTAGCTGCTTGCTACGGTACTTGCAGCAAAGACGATGAATGTAGCCTTTGCCCTGATGATTGTATTATATAACTTTAAGAAGTAAACAGAATTAAATCAGAGGTTCATTAATTCATCAAATATTTACTAGCAGAACTAGTACGGTAGAGCCAGCATGCACAGGACCAGAAGAACCAGAATATGGATTTCACCTAGGAAGGGCTACTACGGTTAGAAGCATTAAAGACGACCTTGTCCCTGCTTTCTTCTGTATACTCCTTGGAATTGTGTATAAAATTCTGTATTTGCCTTTTGGATGCTGGAGAGGTAGGATGTGTATCTCAGCAAAGAGATCCCTAATCCAGAGAGGTTACGAATGGCTGCAGGAGGCAAGGCCGGGGAGGAGGTGCAGATTTGCTTAGTGGAGAAGACAGGGCTGGGAAGCAAAGGGGCCAGGCGACCAGTGCCAACCGCGTTACCACCCCAGAGTGGATCTGAGCTACCATCTCGGGAAAGAGCATTGTACTCCACTTCGATCTTTTCTTGTGTGAAACAAGTTGACGTGACACAGCACCATGCTTCACTTCTGATTCTTGCTTCTGAAGGTAACCGGTGGCCACCCTTGTCCCCTGGGACCTGCCCTGAGACATGAGGGGGTGCCTGAGGCTGCAGATAGAACCACGTCTGTGTTCTGTGCTTTTGCCCTGCACACAACACACATCTATCATCATCATAGAGATGTTGTTTTAGATGAGTAAATGCTGTAAATACTTTGTAAGCTTTAGTTGTGGGTTAAAGTTAGCAAATGTAGAACTTAAATTGAAATGCAGTGGGGCCTCAGGTGGCCTGGGCACCTTCACCTCTGCACCCACTCACAGAGGCAGCCTGTTCAGTTGTTCATGTCCTGTGTCATCCACAGAGGAGTTCAGGGATTATAAAGATTCCTGTCATAAAATGACAGGCTCAAGATCTGGGAAGAAAAAGTGATGCTATCTTGGTTATGTATTTTACTTTTTTTTTTTTAATTTTAATTTGATTTTGAACTTTCTGGTAGGCAAAAAGAATAATATACCCTATACATGTTTATGTTTCTGCTTTTAGTTCTTTTGTTGCCGGGGGTGGTTTTTTTTGTTTTTTAAAATCAAGTCATACTCTGCATTCTAAAATAAGTCAGAGCCTGGGGATATAGCTCAGTGGTAGAACACTTGCCTAGGATGCACACAGCCTTGGATTCAGTCCCCAGTACCATAAAAAGTAAATAAATATATAAACAACTTAGCACTTAGAAAACAGGCACTTAATAACAAATTTAATAAAATAACATTGTCTCTGTATATTCCAAACAATAGAATCATTATTTCAGCCATTCCCTTAGGCCAAAATACTTGTATTATTTCTATAACTTATAAATGTCCTTTCAGTTGTGTCCCCTCCAGTTTTATGAACGTACTGATTTGTGCTGTGTATGGCCACGCCTGTTGTCCTAGTTTGTAGCAAGTCTCCAGTTTTATGCACTTATTCAGTGACTTGCTCTAATACTTACATAAAGATTCATTTTGGGTTAGTGTGATGGTATTTCTCAGAATTAGGACTGATTATATTTATGAAAGTTAAAGTACATTTTGCATTTTTAAGTATCAAAAGATCATAATCAAGTTCAGCAAAACTCATTTTATGTTATACCTATGCCTGCTTGGAATGTTAACTTTCAGATTGTATTTGCTTAATGGGAAATGTGAAGGATTTTCCACCTGATCTGAAAAAGGGTAGAAGTATTAAAATTTTTATGAAAACACAGTGAACTTGTACTTAGTAATTATAAACAAGAAGCTCATTTCCAGATTCAGTAATGATGTGAAAGAGGGGCCAGGGTTATGGCTCAGAATAAGCGCTTCCCTGGCAAGTGCAAGAGCCTGAGTTCAATCCCTGGTTCCACCAAAACAAAACAAAACAAAACAAAACAAAACAAAACAAAACAAAACAAAACACTATGATGTAAAAGAAAACCTAAGTAACCCTTTAGTACTTCCTGAGTACCTAACCATTTCTTCAATATTTTTATATTTTTATAATGTACCTTCATAAAAATTCTGTATACTTAGCAGTGAGGTGAGATTGACAGATGTATAACGTTGAGGGTTTCCTCTGCCTGGGACCCTTGCCCTCTCTTGGTTTAGCTGACATGTCCCAAGCACCACCCTTACCTCAAGACCCAGCTCCATCTAGCCAAGTCTGACAACAGCCTTTCTAACATGAGGGCTGTGTGACTGTCCTAATGTGCAGGCTCAGGGCCAGACTTTCCGCACAGCCAGCCAAGCCCCTCGCATGTGGCTCCAGCCCCTGACCGTGGTGGTCGTCTGCACCCTGCTGCTTCCCCTAGAGCAGTGTTGCACATTCTGCTCCCCCCCTGCTCCTAGTGGAGCCCTGATGCCAACAGATGCCCTCCCCTCTGCCCAGAGAGCATTTTACCTCCAAGCTCAGGCTCAGTCTCCTCCCCCTTCTGCCTCCCAGGGAGTTCTGGTTTTGCAGCACTCCCAAGGAACATACCTGTGGTGCATTTTACTCAGATGTTTTCAAATCATCACAGCGAATAGATTCTATTGAACAAAGAAGATAGCATTAGATGAGCCACACAGTAGAATATCCCTTATGTGGTTTTCTACATACAGGACAGCAGTTCTGCCCTCTGCAGTCTGAGGACTAGTGAGCTGATGCAAAGGAAAGCTGTTTATACAAAGAAGTCCACGTGTTGGTACCATGTGCCTCGGCCACACCTGAGATGTCCCCCATTGAGCTGTCCAGTGGCATCAGTGTCTCCTGCTGCCTTCAGTGTCTGCTAGTCCAATTTTAAAATAATCTTCTCTGGTTTAAACATGTCATAGGCAGAGTGAAGGAAGGGAGTAGTTCGTCAGGGAAGGATGGGACGGGATTTTCAAGTCCAGGCTCAGTTCCCCTGCAGGTACAGTGTGTGTCATACAGCTCTGGTCAGTTGTTCCTGTGGCAGTTTGCTTCTAGAACATGAGTTCTCTCAGGTCTCACACGGGTTGCACTCCTATTCAATCCTCTGGTCCCCCAACATGTTAGTGCTTCATAAATGTATCTTGTGACCTCCCAAAGGGACAGTAATAGGCTAGCGTAGGATTAAGTCTTCTGATAAATATTTGAATTGATAATCTTGTGTAGTGACTTTCATTTCTTTTCTGTCTTCCAAATTCTCTGTAACAATCATGTATTTAGTCTGAAAAATATTAGATGTTACTTAAAATTATATATTTAGACTAACATTTTTAGAATAGGATTTTTAAAATCCAGAGAAGAAACTAACTGAAACATTTAAATTCTTTAGCTATGCTAGATCACATTTTACCTTCAGGTTCAAACAGTTCTTAAAACTTAAATTTCCTCAGTTCTTTTTTCTTGTTATCCAAATATAGCCAACTCAGACTATTTTTTTTTAATTCAGACTATTTTAAGAGAATGTAGCAGGTGTGGTGGCGCATGCTTGTAATCCCAGCACTCAGGAGGCTGAGGCAGGAGGATCTTTGCGAGTTAGAGACCAGCGTGGGCTGCAAAGTGAGCTCAAGGCCAGCCTAAACTGCATACTGAGACCCTATCTTAAAAAGACAAACAAAAGAAAAGAGAGACAATGTAAAATGTCCTAGAATATAATCTGTTACTGCTATTGCTACTGAAGATTTATTTCTCTGATGTGTTAGATACTGCTAATCTTCTAGAATCTAACCTTTCTAGTTCAAATATTACAAAGCTTATTTATTAATATGGCTTTATGTTGAAATTTCACGCTTACCACTATTAATTTGTCTTTATTAGAACCAGTAAGATATATAGCATGTGTATCATAGTTATTTTTAAATAAGCTGAAGGTGATAGCTGTGTATCTGATGTATATAGTAAAGTTTTTCCAATATGTAAGGAAAAAATTACCAAAATTTTATATAAACAATAAGTAGGCTAGCTTTAGCCATGAGTTGTTTCAGAACCTAATTTGTATGCTCTAAAGTAGAAATTCTAAGAATTTCTTTGAACATATATGTTGGGAGCTGTTGAAGCTGGAAATTGGTCAAGTGTGTGGGAGCAAGACTAGGCCTCAGTGCCTAAAGCAGTCAGGCTACCTGAGTCCTGAGAAAAGCATCCTGCCTGGTTAATGTCAGCTATTAGTCACTAGGCAGCCTTGTGTCGCGTGATACTAACTTTGCAAAAGTATAAACACCCCTACTGTTGTTCTGGTGGTGTCTGCACATTAGGCAACAGGCTACCACCTGGCCCAGCTCTTGTCGTCTTATCTATTCCTCATTCTTTTTTTTTTTCTTTTTTGTGGTACCAGGGATTGAACTCAGGACCTTGTACTTGCCAGGCAAGCACTTATTCCACCGAGCTATCTCCCTGGCCCTTTTTCCTCATTCTTGCCACCATGTCTTCCTGGGGTACACCGACAGACCAATGGAAACCTACCATGTAATTCATAAATTTTGCTTTTTCTAGTTTTATTTTTTCTATTTAAGAATAAACTGTTCAATGAAACTATGTAAAATGGTTTTGGGGCTGGCACAATAGCTCAGCAGTCTAAAGTGCCTGCTTAGGCAAGCATGCAGGGACTGTAATTTGATCCCCAGCACCACATGTCGCACCTGCACCAGGGAGGGCTAAGCCAGCCACAAAAATAAATAAATACATTTATATATATAGATAGATAGATATAGATACATATATAATAAAATAATGGTTCACTACTCTCTTTTTCCCCATAGCACTTTCACCTTCCCATATATGCTGTTACTTATGTTTGTTGACCTTGTCCCTGGTAAAATGAAGGCAAGGGTTTGGATATATAAAAGTCACATCACTGGCACTTAGAACAGAGCCCAGCATGTCGTAGGTATGCAGAAGCTTCATTTGTTGAGTGTGTGGCTGGGCCTGGAGTGCTGTGTGCTTTGCAGGGGTCCTTTCCAGGCTCTTGTCCTCAACAGAGAAATTGACAGGAAACATGCAAAAAATAGGGTTTTACAGTCATTAACAGTATTAAAGCTGGGAAAAATACTGCGGTCTGGCGATGCTATCAAAAACCTGCTTGGTTTCATACCAGAAAAGTTGAAGGTAGCATTCTCTGCTTGATCCCAGGTGCGGGGCTTGCAGGCATGAGCGCTGCATGTCTGCAGTTGACAGGTCACACCCATGCACCAGGGGGCTGCCTCAAGTTGGTAAGACAGAATTTAAACCAGTGTTTGTTTCTCTGTTAGATGGAATGTGCAGAGCCTTCCATGTTAGCCTCTCATTTCATTGTTCCTGGATGTCGGGGCCTTCCAGAATATTTTTGAAGTTACTAACTGTTAAAAGTTATTTAACTCTAATGTCATGTATTTGTGTGCACATAAATATATCTACCCCCATATAATAAGTATAGCAGTTTCTCATTCAAGTCTCTGTTGTATTAGTGGTTGAAATAAAAATTAAAATGAAGAAATGGTTGAAATAGTGGTAGTCCAGTGAGGCTTTTATCTTTAAATTAATGGAACTCCCCTCTTTCTCCTGTAGATCTTAAACCTCACTCAGGCACTGAGAGATGGGAAGAGCCCAATGGAGCTGGTGCAGATGCCCTGCGTGAACGTGGAGTGCAGCCAAGGGCGCGGGCAGGGTCGCATCATCCACCTGACCAGCACGTTCACCCAGACAATCCACTGCAGGAAGCCCTTCTTCTCCTCCTGGTAGTAGGTGTGAGAGAGGCAGCTGTTGGGCATCACTGTGTTCTTAAAACAGCACATTTTATATCTGCTCCAGCTGCCAAAACTTCAAGCCATTTCAGTCTTTAAAAAAAGTTTTCTTTTGAATGTAATCACAAGTTTACAGATTTTTATCCAAATATTAAATTCCATTTCAGGGAATAAGTGATATATCTCATGTTATTTTTATAGAAAACTGTAATTTGTTGTTCAAAAGATAACCTCATGGTGTTACCCATGCTAGAACTGTCATTGCTCTAGAATTCCAAGAAGAAAAATAAGACATTTGTTGACTTTGAAGACAACAACATTTTATATATTTTTTTAAAAATTGGGGAGAATGTTCATTTTTCACTTCTTTTATATTGCATTACAAAAGGCCTTTGAAAGGGCTAGGTCTGAAATTACTGTCCTCTGATGTAAGAGTCAGTAG